CCAAGGACTATCAAGGCGTGGATTTTTTAAGGAAATATTTTTTTAAAGGACTATCAAGGCGTGGACTTTTTAAAGAAGATTTTTTTATCAAGGCGTGGAAGATTTTTTCCAAGGACTATCAAGGCGTGGATTTTTTAAAGAAGATTTTTTCCAAGGACTATCAAGGCGTGGATTTTTTAAAGAAGATTTTTTCCAAGGACTATCAAGGCGTGGATTTTTTAAAGAAGATTTTTTCCAAGGACTATCAAGGCGTGGATTTTTTAAAGAAGATTTTTTCCAAGGACTATCAAGGCGTGGATTTTTTAAAGAAGATTTTTTCCAAGGACTATCAAGGCGTGGATTTTTTAAAGAAGATTTTTTCCAAGGACTATCAAGGCGTGGATTTTTTAAAGAAGATTTTTTCCAAGGACTATCAAGGACTTTTTCCAAGGACTATCAAGGCGTGGATTTTTAAAGAACACGGTTTTTCCAAGGACTTTCAAGGCGTGGATTTTTAAAGAAGATTTTTTCCAAGGACTATCAAGGCGTGGATTTTTAAAGAACACGGTTTTTCCAAGGACTATCAGGGCGTGGATTTTTAAAGAACACGGTTTTTCCAAGGACTATCAAGTCGTGGATTTTTTAAAAAAAAGGACTATCAAGGCGTGGATTTTTGAAAGTAGATTTTTTCGAAGGACTATCAATGCGTGGATTTTTTAAAGTAGATTTTTTCGAAGGACTATTAAGGCGTGGATTTTGAAAAAAGAGTCTTTTTTCAAGGACTATCAAGGCATGGATTTTTAAAGAAGAATTTTTTGCAAGGACGTGGAATTTTTAATGAATATTTTTATAGCGATATGTTTGTTTAAACTTACCATTTTAAATACACCCACTGCAGTCCCATTTGGATATACAACTCCTGAGATGTAATTTGGTGGGTCATTGGGTATTAGGACCACTGAGAAATTTAATGCCTCTGACAATATGTCCAGTACAGAAGCATCAAATCCTTTCAGTGATATTGAACCCATTGCATTTTCTATAAAATCTATATAGGGAGGTGTCTTCCATACCACAACTCGAAAGGGGCATTGATGAAAATTCAAGGTTTTTCGTGGAAATAAATCACCATATGTGATGATGGGTTCTTGTGTTCGAATGCCCTGAATTTTGAGTATCAGTATAGGTTTTAAATTTGAACAATTGTGTTCAGATTGAAACGGGAAATAGGTGAATATTTCAATTGTATTGTGATGAGGTATTAAAATAACAGCATCCAATATGTAGGCATTGAATAAGTGTTGAAATATTCGCTCCATTGTCATGAACTGCTCTTGCCCTTGAAGATCCTGACCGTTGTTTAGAATAATTAAATATTTTGGAATTGTACTGTGTACGGTCTTCAGAGATCTGGTGAATTGCACCGAACGTTCCAAATCCAAACTGGAATAAAAAACAAATAAATATTATTTGAGATCTAAATATTATAGGAAATAAGTAAATATTATACGAAATAATAGAAATAAGAATTTCTCTTTTCGAGGATCTTAACCCTTACTTTATATGTACTTACAACACTTCCTCAGATTCTTGGACCACCAACAATTTAATTCTATCCCTATCCTCCATATTTGCATCTGTTGGAGGATTCAAGAAAATTGGTAATGGATTTTTTAATCCCGCATTGATTTTCAAAATTGTCTCCACAAGGTCTCTATTAAATTTGTCTCGACCTTTATTTTCCGTTACTTTCCAAACAATTTCCACAGTTATTGAATTCGGTTCAAAAACACCATAAAATATTTTCTCCAAGATAACATTCAGCAATTCCACATGTGTTTGATTACTGCATTCGATTCGAACGAAAACGTTTATTAATAGAAAATAAATGTAAATCATAATTCCGTTCGTTTGGTTTCACTTAATGACCAGTTTGGTTTAGAATTGTGGGATATTCTGATTTCATTTGGTACCGATGTGACATATTTTCTGCTAATGCTTAAATCAATATGAAATTCCCGAAGGGGATTTGATAAATGACAATTTTAGGAATGCAATTGCATTGATAGTGTAATGTGATAATTTTGACATTATAAAACCAGTAAGGAAAGTAGTAAAGTCGGACGGGGCCGACTATATGATACCCTGCACCACTTTGGGCATATTCCAACGATGAATCATAACAGACGTGGAATTTTTGAAGGACCACTAACATGAAAATCGATCCATAAACATGCCATTCTGGAACCTATACTAAATTTTTCATTTGGTTAGATATAGAAGCTATATCTAAATCTGAACAGATTTCAGGAAACTTAACACACATCTAGACCTAATTCATTACGCTGTGCCAAATTTAGTGCAAACCGAAAGATATTAAGGGGCTTTGGTGCATCATTTACCTTAAATCGGACGAAAATATATATGAGATCTATATCTAAATCTGAACCGATTTTCAGGAAACTTAACACACATCATTCTAGAGATAATTCATTACGCTGTGCCAAATTTCGTGCAAATCGAAATATATATAGGGACTTTTTGGCACAATTTACATTAAATCGGACGAAAATATATATGAGAGCTATATATAAATCTAAACCGATTTTCACGAAACTTAGACCTTTTTTTGTCAAATCGACTCAAAAAGTGATTCTATTGGAGTGGAGAGATTTGCTACCTAATAAGAACAATCAATTCGGTCGAAAAATACGATCAGAACCCCCAAAATACCAAAAATTTGGGTGTACCGTTATATGGGGACTACCAGAAAACCTGGACCTATATTTATAATTTTTAATGGAGTAATTTGGTACCCAATAAGAACCCAATGTACAAAATTTCAGAGAATTCAGTTACAAAACGAGACAAAGAACCCGAAAATACCGAAAATTGGGGGTACCCTTATATGGGGGCTCTCCGAAAAAATGGACCTTTATTTATAATTTTTGGTAGGGAGATTTGCTACCCAATAAGAACTCAAAGTACCAAATTTCAGCGAATGCAGTTACAAAACGCGCTCAAGAACCTCAAAATACCGAAAATTGTCGGTACCCTTATATGGGCCTATCCGAAAAAAGGGACCTTTATTTATAATTTTTGGTGGGGAGATTTGCTACCCAATAAGAACTCAAAGTGCCAAATTTCAGCGAATTCACTTACAAAACGCGCTCAAGAACCTCAAAATACCGAAATTTTGGGGTACCCTTATATGGGAGCTATCCGAAAAAAGGGACCTTTATTTATAATTTTTGGTAGGGAGATTTGCTACCCAATAAGAACTCAAAGTACAAAATTTCAGCGAATTCAGTTAAAAAAACGCGCTCAAGAACCCCAAAATACCGAAAATTTTGCGGTACCCTTATATGGGAGCTATGCCTAAACGTGGACCGATTTTCTCCAATTTCAATAGGGTTCGTCCTTGGGCCAATTAAGTGACATGTGCCAAATTTCATCCAATTCGGATCATAAATGCGACCTGTACTTTGTTTACAATTTTACAAGGACAGTCGGACGGACGGACAGACGGACATGCGTAAATCGACTCAGAAAGTGATTCTAAGTATTTTCTCAAAAGGAACCATGGATCTATCTCGATTATTTTTGCCTGTTACAAACATATGCACAAAGACATAATACCCTGTACCACAGTGTGGTGAAGGGTATAACAAAAATATATTGGCATTAAGGTCAGTTTTTGGTAACTGAAATAAATATTTAGAGATATCCAGCTGAAGCTAGCCAATAAATAATGAATAAAAAATATGATGGACTAGGGGATAAGCATGTATTGAATTGCTTCCGTTGACGTCTAATTGAGTGAGTGAGTGAGTGAAGAAAGGGAAAATGGTCTCAAATCACGATAAATAAGTGGTATTGAAAAGTAAAATAAAAATAAAACTAAAAATAACCAGTAAGGAAAGTAGTAAAGTCGGACGGGGCCGACTCTAGGATACCCTTCACCACTATGGGTACATTAAACAGGACTATTAACATGAAATTGGATGAAATAAAATATGTGATATTTATCTAAATGTGAATCTACCTAGATTTGTCCATAAAGTGTGTAAATCGACTTCAAACAAATATAAATAGGTCATCCGGTTGACTATGTCTGTACTTCTAGAAAACGCAACTACGTAATTATATGCTCAATTTTGTACGTTGTGCAAAATTTGATGTCAATCTGACTAACATGAGGAGTATGATGCCCAATTTGCTTGATATCGGGCGAAAAATATATGTAAGCTATATCCACATATTAAGCGATTTCAAACAAACTTGTCACAGGTTAGGTTATACTAACTTTAGAACGTTTTGTTCCTATTGGTTCCTTGGTGCGTCAATTACATAAAATCAATCTATAATAAAATGGAGCTATATCTAAATCTGGACCGATTTTCACGAAACAAGGCAGACATCACTCTAGGCTCAATTCAGTACGTTATGCCAAATTTCGTGCAAATCGAAAGATATATAGCGACTTTGGTGAACCATTTACATGAAATCGGACGAAACTATATGTGGGAGCTATATAGAAATATGGACCGATTTTATCGAAACTTGGCAGACATCACTCTAGGCTCAATTCAGTACGTTGTGCAAAATTTCGGGCAAATCGAAAGATATATATGGATGTTGGTGCACAATTTACATGAAATCGGACGAAACTATATATGGGAGCTATATCTAAATCTGGACTGATTTTCACGAAACTTGGCAGACATAACTCTAGGCTCAATTCAGTACGTTATGCCAAATTTCGTGCAAATCGAAAGATATATATGGATTTTGGTCACAATTTACATGAAATCGGACGAAACTATATATGGTAGCTATATCTAAATCTTGACCGATTTTCACGGAGCTTGGCAGACATCATTCTAGACCTAAATGATTAGGCTGTACCAAATTTCGTGCTAATCGAAAGATATATAGGGACTTTGGGGCCCCATTTACATTAAATCGGACGAAACTATATATGTGAGCTATAGCTAAATCGGGACCGATTTTCATGAAACTTGGCAGACATCATTCTAGGCCCAATTAAGTACGTTATGCCAAATTTCGTGCAAATCGAAGGATATATAGGGACTTTGGGGCACCATTTACATGAAATCGGACGAAACTATATATGGGAGCTATATCTAAATCTGGATCGATTTTCTTGAAACTTGGCAGACACCATTCTAGACTCAATTCAGTACGTTATGCCAAATTTCGTGCAAATCGAAAGATATATAGAGACTTTGGGGCACCATTTACATGAAATCGGACGAAACTATATATGGGAGCTATATCTAAATCTGGACCGATTTTCACGAAACTTGGCAGACATCACTCTAGGCTTAATTCAGTACGTTATGCCAAATTTCGTGCAAATCAAAAGATATATAGGGACTTTGGGGCACCATTTACATGAAATCGGACGAAACTATATATGGGAGCTATATCTAAATCTGGACCGATTTTCACGAAACTTGGCAGACATCATTCTATACCTAAATGATTAGGCTGTACTAAATTTCGTGCAAATCGAAAGTTATATAGGGACTGTTTACATTAAATCGGTTAAATATATATATGGGAGCTATATCTAAATCTGAACCGATTTTTCCCAATTTCAATAGGGTTCGTCCTTGGGCCAAATAAGTGACCTATGCCAAATTTCATCCAATTCGGATCATAAATGCGACCTGTACTTTGTTTACAATTTAACATGGACAGACGGACGGACGGACGGACGGACGGACGGACAGACGGACATGCGTAAATCGACTCAGAAAGTGATTCTATGCATATTCTCAAAAGGAACCATGGGTCTATCTCGATTATTTTTGCCTGTTACAAACATATGCACAAAGACATAATACCCTGTACCACAGTGTGGTGAAGGGTATAAAAATTGTTTTTGGGGGATATGTAGATGCGCGGATTTTATAAAAATTGTTATTTACAGAAACGAAGATTTTAGAAGCGTAGATTTTTTAATGAAGATTTTTCAAATGACTATCAAAGCGTGTAGTTTTTAATAGAAGATTTTTTCAAGCCGTTATCAATATGGGTACAATTTTTGAGTAGCTCCTAATATTGGATCATATTAGATACCAAAGATCGGTATTTTTGGGTGATATAGCACACGTTTCAATCAATTTGAGAGCAGTTTAATATTTGGGACCCTCACTGAGTAAAAATTTTCCTACCAAAAATTATAAAAATTTACCCAAGTTTTCAGGTAGCCACTATATAATGGTATACCCATTACTAGGTACTTTGGGAGGTCTGGGTTTGGTGTAACTACCATAGAATGGTAGCATCCCATTTCACTATTTTGAAGACTTTAGCAGCATTTTCCAAACGATGGGACTGTGATTGGGTTCTGAACGGATGATTTATATAGAAATGTGTGCGGTGTATATATAGGTCCACGGTATGATATATCCCCACCTATAGTTTCGTTCTTTTTCGGTATTAATAAATTGTTAATCGCATTTTTCACGGGAGTGAAATTCACCAGGAATCCAATATGTATTCCTGGTGAATAAAAAATAAATAAAAATGCCCCGTTTAAGCATTCCAACTAGAGTGTCTGCGTTTTGGTACACTATTTTTTTTTTTGAACATGGACAACCTACTCTCAAATAAACTATAATATAGTCCTCATATAAATGTGCCGATCGACTCAAGGAATTTTGACTGGACTTCACGTGGTGGAGGTGGAGGGCAAAAAAAGTTCAGTCCGGCCGAATATAACGACGTTTTTACTTGTGATTTTATTCGAATCTACATCAACCGAAGAATATTCACTTACTTATGTGCCGTGTGACAGAATATTTGTTCCATAAGCCGACCTAAAACAAATTGCCAGGCCCGTCTGTCTTGTGCCCAGCTCTTCCAATTTGAAAAATGTTCTCTTTCACTTGATCTTTCCATCTAATTCGTTGCCTTCTGCGCAGTCGCTGCAGTTCGATACGTTTGACTATGTCGATGTCCGAGATTAGAGGGTACAATTTGTGGTTCATTCGACGGCAATATTCACCGCCGACACAGCTCGGCCCGTATATATTTCGAAGAAATTTTTTCTCAAACTCTCCACGAGCTGCCTCATCTGCTTGTGCAAGTACCCATGCTTCAGATCTATACAACAGCACGGGTAGTATCAGCGTTGATGTCGTCGGCGCAGGCGAGTACCATGTGTTGTTTGGTGTGCAGAGTGTCATTTATGTCCACCTTTGCCTCTCGTATGATCTTTTCCAGCAGAATGTTAAAAAAGTCACACGATAAACTGTCACTTTGTCTTTTACTGCTGACATTGTGCCACTCAAAGTTATCCTGCATAGCCGTATTCATTTTGCAGGAATGCCGAACGCAGACATGGCTTTAAATAACTCTGAACGGAATGGGTTGTCGAATGCGGCTTTATAGTCGACGAATATGTGGAATGTGTCGAAATTTTTTTCTGGTCAATGGTGGATTTGCCAGGTCCAAAGCCGCATTGGTATGGTCCAATAATGTCATTGACCATTGGCTTCAGTCGTTCACACAGCACGCTGGATAGCACCTTAATGCAATGCAATGGGAAGGAGACTTATACATCTATAGTTGGCAAATATCATCTTGCCTCCTTTTTGTGCACGGGACACAGGATGTAGAGGTTCTAATCATTGGGCATGCGTTCCTATAGCCAAATTGTAAAAATCAGCTGGTGCATGTTCCTGATCAGCATCTGACAACCGATATTGAATAGTTCGGCTGGTAATCCATCGGCACCTGCTGGTTTATTGTTCTTCAGTCGATTGATTCCTATTATGACCTCATCTTGGCTAGGTGGTATATACTCCATACCGGCATCACTTATTGGTCCTGGGGTATCTTTTTCACCGCCACTATTTGATACCAGAAGCTTTTCAAAATTATCCTTCCATATCTTTAGGACGCTGTCTGTATCTTTCATCAGGTTTCCTTTGTCATCTCTACAGGAGGATGTGCATGCACCAAAGCCTACTGTTTGGCGTTTTACTCGTTGGTAAAATGTCCGGACTTCATTCTGACTCTTATGCATCTTAATTTGCTCACGTTCACGTTTTTCTTGTTCTTTTTTTTTAATTACATTTCTCCTCCCACTCTTTCTCCCGATTATTCTCTCTCGCATTACGTGTTGCTACTGTGTGCAGGGTTACCCTATACACTGCGTTTTTCAAATCTATAGCACTAAGTACTATGGGTTTCTTGATGGTCGTCTTTTGTACCCAAGTGTTGCAGTTTGTAGGGATTGGGCAATTTCTTGCCCAATGTTCTGAAACGATATTCGCCTAAAACACTGAATGAATGCCTTCCGTCTATCACAGCAGGGTCAATTTGATTTCTCCTTGCTTAATCAGAAGAAATCCAGGTGACCTTATGTACATCTAGATACTTGAATCTAGTGCTGCTAAATACCATTTTCAATCAACCTCATGCCGTTGTCGGATGTTACTTCATGGAGGGTGCATTTTTCGACGGTTGGGCAAAAAAAAATATTGTTGCAGTATTTTAATTCTATGGCCAGGGCAGCGGTCTTCTTGGTGCTCGTAAAAAACGTTTTTGGTCGGTTCATCTTTGCCTTCCGTAGAAGCATGGGTGCAAATAAGACTGACTGAAATTCGATTTTATACAGACTGAACTTCGATTTTATACGGATTATAGTAATTCGCTCATCTATTGGAGTGAATCTGGGAACCAGGTCTTTTATTCTCCTGTTAACCATAAACCCGCAGCCAAATTAATGTCGCGTTTTATGACAGATATAATACAGTGTGCAATCATTTGATTTATTTACGCATGTCCCTTTTCATCGCATTGCCCGTAAGGAAATAATATCGGCTTTGTACTTCTTGAGTACATACGCCAATGCATAAACTGCGCCTGTTCTGTACAACGTGCGCACATTCCAAGTGTAGATTCGAAGATCGTGGACCTTTATACGATTGCGGGGGTCATCAACTTTGGAGGGTTTGGTTTTCCGAGTGTGGGCAACTAACCCGACGTATCAACCTACATCAGTTCACAAATTCAACGAATGATGAAAGTGGCTGTCCCAGGTGACACCGCGGGGAGGTCAGTGTCCACAATTGAGATGAAAGAGGAAGCAAGGTAAGCCTGGGCTTTGTCATGTTAAGCCAAATAGAGCCGTTGCTTGGCTTCACAGATCTACGTCCCTACGTCACCCATCTATCTATAGCTATATATACACCGCACACATTTGTATATAATTCAGCCTTCCAGAACCCAATTACAGTCCTCACGGTTTGGAAAATGCGGCTAAAGTCTTCAAAATACCGAAATTTGGGTGGTACCATTCATGGTAGCTACAAAAACTGAGAAATGTGCTCAAGCACCCAAAAATACCGATCTTTGGGGTATAGCGTTATATGGACTTCCTTAAATGGTGGATCAATATTTATAATTATTATCATTTACACACCCCAAATAAAACCAGTAAGGAAAGTAGTAAATTCGGACTGGGTCGACTATATGATACCCTTCACCATTTATTACGCTATGCAAAAATTCTTGTCAATCAAAAGATTTGCAAGGACACCATTTACCTAAAATCGGGCGATACTATATATGGGAGCTATATCTAAATCTCAACCGATTTTCACGAAACTTGGCACACGTCATTCTAGACTTAATTCAATACGCTATGCAAAAATTCGTGCAAATCAAATGCTTTTCAGGAACATTGATGCACCATTTACCTAAAATCGACCGAAACTATATATGGGAGCAATATCTAAATCTGACCCGATTTTCACGAAACTTAACAATGCTTTTCAGGAACATTGATGCACCATTTACCTAAAATCGACCGAAACTATATATGGGAGCAATATCTAAATCTGACCCGATTTTCACGAAACTTAGCACACATCATTCTAGACCTAATTCAGTAGGCTGTACCAAATTTCGTGCAAATCGAAAGATATGTAGGGACTTTGGTACACCATTTACCTAAAATCGGGCGATACTATATATGGGAGCTATATCTAAATCTGAATCGATTTTCACGAAACCTGGTACAAGCAATTCTAGACTTAATTCAATACGCTATGCCAAAATTCGTGCAAATCAAATAATTTTCAGGGACTTTGGAGCACCATTTACCTAAAATCGGCCGCAACTATATATGGGAGCTATATCTAAATCTGAACCGATTTTCACGAAACTTAGCATACATCATTCTACACTTAATTCAGTAGGCTATACCAAATGTCGTTCAAATCTAAAGATATATAGAGACTTTGGTACACCATTTACCGTAAATGGTATACCAACCATTTACCTAAAATCGGGCGATACTATATATGGGAGCTATATCTAAATCTGAACCGATTTTCACGAAACTTGGCACAAGTCATTCTAGACTTAATTCAATACGCTATGTCAAAATTCGTGCAAATCAAATCATTTTCAGGGACTTTCATTTTCAGCATACATCATTCTAGACCTAATTCAGTAGGATATACCAAATTTCGTGCAAATCGAAAGATATATAGGGACTTTGGTACACCATTTACCTTAAATCGGACGAAAATATATATGGGAGCTATATCTAACTCTGAACCGATTTTTCCCAATTTCAATACCACAGTGTGGTGAAGGGTGTAAAAATATAACCATCAAAATACCGAATATTTTGGGGACGACCCCAAAACATAAGATTATATTTATAATTTTTCGTAGGCAGATCTAAAAAAATGGAACCTATATTTTGAGGCCAAACAAAGCTATAATACCAACGCAATCATGAACGGACGTAGAACTCTACTAACTACGTTTCTGATAGAACATATCAAACTTTCCGATGTCAAATGACGTCTTAGGTAGAATATAATCTGTCTTTATAAAAATTAATTATAAGTCTCATATGGATCAAATACCTTTACAATTGTCGTAATTAAAAGAAACACACACAAAATTTTTATTTATTTATTACTTATTATTTTATTTATTAATTGTTGTTTCAATTTTCTATAAATTCTGCAATTTCTGAGATATCTGTGCGTAATAATTTCTCCACAAAATATAACAAAAGCAACAAAATGAAATTGCAGCAGAGCTTTAAAGACGACTTGTAAAAATGTAAAACCCAAATGAAATTTTTGATTCTTTGGATGGGCACGCTGCCATTTTGCTGTGCTTGCAGGTACGTTGCTTAAACTCAAGCTTCTAAAGAATTTATTTCGCATACCCGAATCGATTAGACGCTGCAAAATCGGATCAATAGCAGAGGCTAGATACGAACCTCTCGTATAGTAAATGCAATTTAAACCATTAAATATTTTCTCATGTAACACCGAGTAACGAGTGAGATTTTTCATACGTGCCTTCATGAAATGGCCAACATAGACATTTGTCGTTAGAATACCACTTTTGTACGGCAGCTCATCTATCTGTTCCAACAGCTCTATTGGACCGCAATTAACACTGAGTGATCTTTCTTTTAGCAATGGTTGCTTTTCCAATACCCGATATGTAGAATAATCAACAAAGAGCGTGTAATTTTGTGCAATTAATTCCCTAACCGTTTTGGGTAGAGGTTGATAAGGTGGATTTGTAATGACATGATACATCACACCCTCATAGCTGATACGTAGGAAGAATAATACATATAACCATGCCATAAGAAATATGGTATATAATTTAATTTGACGTTTTCGCATAATGGGGAAAATTGTCATTTTCAGAATAGCGACACATGTTATGAGACGCCATGTTGGATATGTAAATGGCCGTACTAATAGATCTCGTGATTTTATAACCACACTATTCTTGAGAATAACCACAAATGTTGGCAAGAAGTATGGTATGGAACCGGATGTTATTTGTAGGCGATTTATTTGACAGCCAACACAACCAATTGTTAGGTTGGCACGTTGTTCCTGAAGCTGAAAGAAGAAACACAAAATAAGTAGAAATATATCAAAGAACAGAAAATATATTTTTTAAGAAATCTTCGCCTTGTTGGTTCTTTAAAAAAATATTCTTTAAATCTTCGCCTTGTTGGTACTTTGAAAAAATATACTCTAAAAAAGCATCGCATCGATCCTTTGAAAAATATATTCATTAAAAAGTCCTCCCCTTTTCGGTCCTTTGAAAAATTTTACTTTAAAAAATCCTCGCCTTGTTGGTCCTTTGAAAAGATATTCATTAAAAAGTCCTCCCCTTGTTGGTCCTTTGAAAAATTTGTCTTTAACAAATACTCGCCTTGTTGGTCTCTTCTTAAATTCTTTACAAATCCTTTGAAAAATATTCTTTAAAAAATCCGCAACGTTTTGGTCCTTTAAAAAATATTCTTTAAAAAATCCACGCCTTATTGGTCCTTGGAAAATATATTCTTTAAAAATAAATCACGCGTTGTTAGTCTTTTCAAAAATATTCTTTAAAATGCACGCATTGTTAGTCCTTTGAAAAATACACGCCTATAGGTATACCCTAAAAAGTATTTTCAAAAAATCCACGCCTTAAAAAATATTTTTTAAAAATTCACGCCTATAGAAATACCCTGATGATATTTTTAAACCAGTCAGCGGAGCAGTATAATCGGATGCGGCCGACCATACGATACCCTACACAACTACTACAGAACTCTATTTTTCTGCGGATTTTTATTCCGAGCCTGGGTAATATTTCGAAAAAAAAACACAAAGAAAAACCAGTAAGGAAAGCAGTAAAGTCGGACGGGGCCGACTATATGATACCCTTCACCACTTTGGGTATATTCAACGGATGGAATCCTAACAGACGTCGCATTTTTGAAGGACCATTAACATTAAATTAAACATTTCATTCCGCAACCTATACTAAATTTTAGTCAGATATAGAGTTGCTTCTTACACTGTAAATACATTTAAGGGAACCCCCCCCCCCACACACTTTCTCGATTTTTTATTTTTAAAATTTTAAATGATCTGGTAAATTAATACCAATTCTTGTTAAGGCTTGTAACTTTGCACATATATATTTGAATATTTTAAAAGGAAGAAAAATAATTTACAACAAATTGTTGTTTTTGTTTTGTTGTTGTTTTTTGTGATCAAAGAAAAGTCCTTAGTTTTGATGGCGGGCTTCATAACCCCTCACTGGAACATCGGAATCCGAAAATTCCAACGGTGTTAGAAAAAGTACACGTCTGGCTCTCGTATGAACTAGGATTATTGACTTCGCACAACAATTAACAAAATGACCGAACTTTGAAGTTTTTTTTGGAAAATCGCCTATTATTGACTACAAACTAAGTTAAAAATAAGGAAGATCTTCACCGATTGGCTTTATCCTAGTTCATACGAGAGCTATACACGCCCAGAGAAAAGTGTAAAAAATTGGAACCGATTGGATTATTTGTTTTTGAGTTATCGTGCCCGCCATTCGTAAAACACTGCTTCAAGAAAAACGCGTTTTAAGTTTGAGGATCACTCTTGCCGTCACTTGATGCTGACACAATAAATCGGCTATATCTTCAAGAGTTCTTGAGATTTTCACTTGAAATTTGACACCGAGAATGGCGGGGGTCCCCTTAAAGCAAAATATCGAAATCTAAACCGATTTCATCGAAACTTGTCACAGGTTACACTTATTTCAGTACGTTTTTTGCATTCGGCCACATTTTGAACTCTTCATTTACTAATAAATCCAAATTTCGTGCAAATCGAAGGATATATAGGGACTTTGGTGCACCATTTACATAAAATCGGACGAAAATATTTATGGGAGCTATATCTAAATCTGAATCGATTTTCACGAAATTTAACACACATTGTTCTAGGCTTAATTCAGAATGCTATACCGAATTTCGTGCAAATCGAAGGATATATAGGGCCTTTGTGCACTATTTACTTAATATCGGGCGAAAATATACATGGGAGCTATATCTAAATCTGAACCGATTTTTAGGAAATTTAACACATGTCATTCTGAGTTTAATTCAGAATGCTCAGTACGCTGTGCCAAATTTCGTGCAAATCGAAGGATATATAGGGACTTTAGTGCCCTATTTACCTAAAATCGGACGAAAATATATATGGGACCTATACCTAAATCTGAACCGATTTTTAGGAAATTTAACACATGTCATTCTGAGTTTAATTCAGAATGCTATGCCAAACTTCGTGCAAATCGAAGGATATATAGGGACTTTGGTGCACCATTTACATAAAATCGGACGAAAATATATATGGTAGCTATATCTAAATCTAAACCGATTTTCAGGAAATTTAACACACATCATTCTAGGATTGATTCAGAATGATGTGCCAAATTTCGTACAAATCGAAGGATATATACGGACTTTGATACATTATTTACCTAAAATTACCGAAAATATATCTAGGAGCTATATATAAATCTGAACTGATTTTCACGAAATTTAGGGATCGCCCTTGGGCCAATTTAGTGAACTGTGCCAATTTTCATCCAATTCGGATCATAAATGCGACCTGTACTTTGTTTACAATTTAACATGGACAGACGGACGGACGGACATGCATAAGTCGACTTAAAAAGCGATTCTGTGCATATTCTCAAAAGGAACCATGTGTCTATCTCGTTTCCTTTTGCCTGTTGCCTGTGGTAATGGTTTATTAAATAATATCTGAAAATATTTAAGAATGACTCCCACATCCGAGTACATACGACAATATAATTGGTATCCTCTTGGATATACTATCAACTTCTTGGCTCTTTGTCATTCAGGAGTAAATATATACGCTATAGGATACAGTTTTTTTTCAAGTGTCACACAAAAGTCGGGGTCAATTTGACCCGCTAAATATTGACCGATTATTATCAAAACAGGCATGCTTATTCTTTGGCCCAATCCCCTTCTCCTTGTAAAACTTCGAAATGTTTGTGGCCTTTGACCTTTGGTCCATATCATCCCCTAAATATTAACCGATCTTTACGAAAAACAATAGGGGTCTTCATTGGGCCGAACCCATCCTACATGCAAAATTTCGTGAAGTTTGGGCCGTAAATGTGGCCTGTAT